TATAAGGGATCGTCAGCTTTGATTGAGTACTTTGTCCTAAAATATTTTTCTCCATTACCTCCTTGAAATAATATGTGTGGTGTGAGCGAAAGAGAGTAGTGTGTTGAATGTATCTGTGAATTTTTGATACTGTAAAAATCTAAGAAAAATGTAACTTTCCTGTCTATCTTTTTTCATTTTTTTTTCCCCTTATATGTGTTAAGTTTTGCAATTGTCAATCTCAAAAAAGAAAATCTAGTTTTTTGACTAAATTTTTTCTCAATCTTTTTTTTCTCTTCACCAATGATATTTTTTTTGTTAACCCTCTTAGGGAACAAATAAAGCACTTTTTCATATCAAAAAAGCCACATTCATGTACCTTGTCGTTCTGCTGTTCAGCTCCGTTCTGGTTGTCCAAATTTTGATCATCTGTCAAGTCAAGTTCTTCATGATAAATTGAAGACGGATATAACGAGCCGTTCCCTGGTTGTAGTAGGAACAAATAATTTATCATTGTCAGACACCGTTGATACAACCATCGACAAACTGAAGCTCTTCGTTTCAATTTTTAAAGAAAAATACAATGGCAAAAGCTCATCATTGCTACCGTCCCACTACGTCGACATATCGGTCTGAAGAAAGACGTTGATTCACTACACGACGATATTGAAAAATATAACACCGAACTACGATCACTGTCAGAAAGCGAAGATTTTTCATTGATAAAATTTGATTTCAGTGACGATCATTTTGACAAAGATGGTATCCATCCCAGTCCAGCTGGGCGTAAACTGATGGAATCTCGTATCAAAATGGCGTTGAATGAAATGTATAATATTTAGTATAGAGTTGAAGAACCGTTATGTGGCCAACAAACTCGTCTCTTCTACTACCTCTACAAATACCAATCCTCGTACTCCACCACCATCACATACATCGTCTTCTTTTTTTTTAACCAACCATAATATTAAAGGCCTAGTATGTAACATTTTCTCATTGAGACAGTTTGTAGACCAAGAAAAGCCACATTTACTTTGTATCCAAGAGACATTCTTGACATTGGAGAATGATGGTGCCGAGTTTGCCATGTGAGCTACTCCGCATACAGGCAAGACCGTATTCGAAAGGACGCGTATCATCCGCGAGGAGTGATAGTTTATGTTTCAAATCTGTTACCTCACTCACTACTTGCAATCATACATAAATTCTATCGAGGAGTGGTGCACTTCACATCTTATGTCTATCAATAAGTCTAAGTGTGAATGGATATTTGTTTCGAATTCCCCCCAGCATGGGGATCTTCTTCAGTTCAATCTTGCAGGCGTTCCTATTCAGAGAGTAAAGAGTCTGTGTTTACTAGGTGCGACCCTCAGAAGCCTATCAACAATTGTTGTTTGATCGCTTGTTTCTAATAGCATGATCGTGATACTGGTCAGTCCATGATTTATTCGGATAATGGTTGCTATCATTTAACATATGAAGAACGACGATCAGCTCAGATAGCTGTCAAACGTATGAATGGTAAATGAAAGTATTGAACAATGTTTTTTTTCATGTGAAGGGCTTTTTTCTTTTTTTAAACATGTTTGTTTGTTTTTCCTCTGTTTTAGGAAAAATATGTCAAGAGTTAAATTTTGTAGTTAAAGTGAAATTAACAATTCCCGATGAACAAATCAATTTAGAATTAGATGATGATGATGAGGTTCTGAATGAACATTATCATAATGAAATGAATTCAGATCGTAAGTGTACAAAGAATTTATGGTTAACATAATCTCATATATGAGCAGAGATTTCATGAAAAATTCTGTTTTGAAGTAGGAGAGAAAGAGATAATCAGCATAATCACTTTTACTACTTTAACTAAAGTTTAATTTGATTTCATACAATATGAAAAAAAAATGTTTGCTTTTGATCAATTTCGTGTTCGATTTTATGAAGGATACTGAACTCAACTAATTACATTGTCTACACATTTTATTTGGTTTATTCTTTTTGTTCTATAGTCAATTCTGATGATAAGTTATCATTAAATACAAATAGGAATAGAACAACAACATTAGATGGTATTGATGGTGAGTGTCTGTCTCGTAACTGTTCTTACACGTCAAAGAATGTCTTCTAAAAGTAGTCTGTGTTGTTTCTTATAGTTTCACAATCATCTTCATCTATATTAAGTAAATGTCGAAATGTGTCGTGTATAGCTGAAAAGAATGAATTGAAGGCTCAACTACGAGCTAAAAGAGAAGAAATAAGAATAATTAGATCAACTTATACACGTAAGCTTTTTCTTTGAACGTTGTATAGGGGTCAAATGACCCCACGGCAGAGTTATGTCAAAGTCTAGTGATTTACGTTTGTTATATTACATTTTAGCTCCACCATCACAATCAGTTGCTTCGTATTTAGGAACTCTTCTTAAAAAATCACAATTACATAAAAATTTACTTGAATCCACAACAACATTAAAAGTAAACAATGAACAGAAACTGAGATGCACTAAGTTGTATATTCGTTTTCTTTTAATCTTATACGTATTACCTACAAAAACTTTAAATATGTTGGTTTTTCTATTATTTTTGCAGATGTATCCAAAATTGCCATTAACGGCACAAGATTTAGCAAATTGTTATAGACGAGATTGGGGTGAAACAACTCGTCGTTTGTTAAAAAAATGTTTTGTCAATATCAGTTTTGATCAGATGAATTACGAAAAGCTGAACAAGATGAATCCAGATATGATAACAGATATACTCAGTAAGTCACTAGAATCGTTTCATTTTGTGTTGATTTGCGCCTGGTCTGAACACTTTCAGCTTTCACATGTTTTCTGTTGCTAAAAATTCATAGACCTAACAAAATTTATGGAGAATGTTTCATTGTAGTCTCTCACTTGTGTGAATAAATACTGTTATAATCATAAAATTTTATAAAATTTTTTCCAGATTTCGTTGTATTTTGATCAATATATTAATTATACCTTTCCTATCTCAGTTTTATTTTTTACTTTTACTTTTCACCAAACGTTTCAAAACCTAACTGGCGTCGTCTTCAGTAGTATAGATAACAATAAGGAATTTTAAAAAATAAATAAACACTAAAACAAAATAATCGAAAAAATGATGAAATTCCTTTTTTATTTCATATAGGTTTTTTATAATTAACCCTTTGTAAGTTACCAAGTGTTAAGAATAGTTACACGATAAATAATGTCGTAATGCATTCAGTGTGTTATATTCTTTTAAACTTTTTTGTTATAGATTACGTAGGTGAAGCACATAATGAAGTTGTTAAACGTTCAGTTTTTAATGCACAGATAGCTACTTTCTGTAGAAATCAACATAAAATTGTTCGTTCAGGACAAAAATCTAATGAAACAACAGGATCAACCAAAATCGGAAATTATAAATGAACAAACAAAAGATGTGAATGTTTCAAAAGAGAATGTTAGTTGGCAAAGGAGGCAAATAGTTTTCTGAAACCACATTTATCACGTTTATATTTCGTTCCGTTACAGGTTTCTCCTGGTGTTGCACGATCCATTTCATAAGAATAGTACACATTAAAAACCGACAGATTTTCATTTATTTTTCTTTATTGTATTCGTTTCTCTGAGTGATATTTTAATTTGTTTTGTTTTTTATCTTTCAAAACTCGTGTTTCTACGATTGTAGAAAACCGGTGGAATTGATATTTTTGTCTTTCTTCAATTAAATCATGTGTAGATCAGTACAGTAGCCATGTGTGTGTATTTTTCTGTTATTTACATCCATTTCATCATTTACTGTATATATAGTAATTATTTTGTCGACTAGTCAATCATCAACCTTCTATAAAATGAGCATAATTTTCTTCAAAAAAATTAACGACGGTGATCGAGGTTACCTTAGCTTGTCGATGAGTACCAAATGCCATCGAATAGAAAAATGTTGTTATCGATTCGGCCATAGGATTTATTGAAAAAGGAACTTTATATTTGTGGTGTATCCCTTGTGGAATGTATCCTGACTACATCGCAAAGCTGATCAACAACGATTCTCAACCATCGGTCGACGAAATGAGAAAAGCTGCCGCCAACAGAGAGAGTTGGTCTAAGATTGTTGTCGCCTGCAAACCCAGATTGTTCGCAGTCGAATGATGATGATGATATTTGTGGTAGAAATACCGTAGTACATTGAGCTGTGGATGAGCTCATGTATATGAAATGATTTTCAAAGCTTAACAATTTTGATTTTACTTTTTTTTGATTTTTTGATTTTTTTTTTATCTTATAATGTAGAACGAAAGCAGCTTAAATTCTTGAACAGCGAAGATTTTTGAAAATAGTTTGTTCAAGTTCCATGTCCTTAAGAAGAATATTTTGCAATATTTAATCCATATTGTAAAAGTAAAGTATGTATATTAAAAGAACAAAAAACAAATAACTAACTCATTGTGTATGTAAAAAGTAGTAAATATGCACATACTAGTCTTTTTTCTTTTTCTATAATGACGCATTTCTTTAAATCGTTATAAAGAATGCTACCAATAACAAAAAATTAGTAATAATTCAGAAGAATTACGTGACCAACGAAGAAAAAAAACTAAGATGTACATTTTAGCATTTATCATAGCTTTTTTACATACTCAATGTGTTAAAGGTATTTCATTTTTGTTGCTTTCTTAAGCATGGTTTATTTTTACTGTTTTTATCTAAACATTGCAAAATATTATTCTCATTTGACTGGTAATATTGCTTTATATTTTTATCATTGTTAACTTTCGCATTTAAGTTTAGTTTTTTCTTGTTGTGATTGACTATGTTTTCTTTAATGTTGTATCTATTATTTCTTATTATATGCTTTTTATTCAGATATGTACTTCTGAAAAGAAAAAAATACAGGACAATGTGGTATAGAATTGTATTTTCTTGTAACTGTTATATAACATTTTATGTTTGCGTTTTGTTTTCATGTTTCATGGGCTTAAATTTACTCAAATGTTCTGCAAGAAAAACGTTTTGTATATGTATTAGATAGAAAAAGGAAATAAATTGAAATAACATTACATAAAAGTTAGTAGATTATTCTTTGTGTAGTAAGCAGCTGCGATGAATGGCATGTTTAATGACTGTTTTATTTCTATTTTATATATTTGTATTATATTTTATATTTATATAATACCATTACCAAGTTGGGAAGCTCGCCGTGCGCTTCTCCTTCGTCGTAATCAAGTAACAACAGTTGATCTAAGATATGGTAGGTAAACGCAGGAATCAAGATTAGTGATACCATGGCCTTTAACTAATGTTTTAAACACTGGTGCTTCAGCTATATGTTTCACGCAAGAATTTCACAAAACGTTTGCTTTGTACTTGTCATATCAGCGGCTTCAACGTGTTAATACGTATTAAAGTTTCCGATACATGGAATTTTGTTCTAGGATTCGTTTTGAGGATAAGCCTTTCTCTTTAAACCGATCTTTTTGTGCCATTTCTAGGTTTAATCGGTCGGGCTTATTTCACGAAAAAGCTTAATCATCAAGTGGCTGAAGCCTTTGATTTCGTCATAGTCGAATGTGTTATCACATAAAGCCGTTTTCCTAAGAGATGTTGTAGTCGAACTTCACGTTAGAATAGCCTAAAGTTAACGTATTGATTTAACTACGAGTTTTTTATACTGAGTTGGGAGAATATAATTAAGTCTAGAGCTTAATTGAAGACTTCATTGGATTATGTCTCAAATAATATAAGGACAGACTAGAACCTTATATAATTACTTTCGTGTTTAGCTTATATTGAAACGTATGCAGTCTGAAAAATGTGTAGCTATGAGTATGTGTGTTTATTTTTGAACTTGTCCTATCGTAGCCACTAATGTACATCATGACGATATACATTTATATGATGATAACGAATTAATGGATACGAATGTTAATTCTAGTGATGATAATGGCATGGATTTTACAGGTAGTGCTGTTATTATTATTGTTTCCTGCTCTACAATTCATGTTTCTAGTAATAAGAAGTCTTTTTTGAAGTTTTTCTTAAAATGATTAATATTTAGATATAGAAATGACAGTGGAAGGTGCACTTCTACCAAGTGATGTTAATGAATATAATATGGAAGAATTGTCTCATGGTACGACACAACTGAATGTTTCGGGCTTTCCCCACTTTTTCTAGTGCCTTATTTGTCTCTCTTTTTTTTCTTTGCTTCTAGAGAACTATCGACGAAATACACCATCAATACAAGACTGGGCTGCAGCATTAATGATATTTAAAACTCGTCGTTCTCAAAATAACAAAGATATGGATTATATGTGTCGACTACTTCGAATAAATCCTAGTAGCTATTGTGTTAATGTTCCTAAATCATGGGCATATATCAGGTGAGTGTCTTTTTTTACAGTTTTAATTAATAGGAAAATCTGTGTGTATGTTTGAAAATCTTGCCCTTTTTTCTCCAAATAGACGTTGTTTAACTAATGATGATTCCCTATCGTTATATCAAAATTATTATTATTGTCCTGTTTGTATTACATTATCATCAACAAAATCATGTGCTTGTGGTGTAGAAACAACAGTAACAGTTTCTTATTCATCAGTTATAAAACAAATACAACAAATATTATCAATCAAGGGAACGTATACCAGGATGTGTGAAATGCGTGATCGTATTCTACAAATGTATTCATATACAAATTATGTTCGTATCTTACAATTATGTCCAGAATCATCATTTACATTAACTGTTAACTCAGATGGTATTGAATTGAACAAAGGTGCTGTTACAATTAAATCTTAAAATATTGTACATTCACGTATGTACTTTACACGTTAAATATATTATTCTTTTTCTAGGAATTGGAGTGTGGCCGTTTATGCTCGCATTCAATGAACTTCCATTATCGGAACGTTTTTCATTAAGAAATATTGTATTACCATTGATATGGCCAACTGGTACATCGCCTAAATATGAACAAATTCATGCATCAATAAAATTAATGGTTGATGAATTATTACAATTAGAAAATGGTTATGATTTTTTTATACCAGAACTTGATTCGACAAAAACATTATATTTTTTCACAATAGCATCGTGTAGTGATAAACCAGCACAATCGAAAATGGAAAATGTAAATATGTTTATGGCTGAATACGGTTGTGGTTTATGTTATACAAGTGGTGCGTTGTACGATTTCTATACAAAAACAATAAGACGACCAAGTAATTACATGTGTTAGCAAAAATTTCTGTCGCAAAATTTTAGTTCACATTTTCGACATGTTTGACTGATAATGCTATGGGATAATTTTATTCACTATAATCACGCTATAAGACTATGCCTCGGCCTCAGTTTAGAGTTTCATACTGTCTGTTCCTTGATCACAGCAGAGTTGAGGTAACAAACAGTAAAAATGATGCAGAAGGTCATCACTAACAATGACGATATACATTAGACTATTTACGGCTGACTTTTAGAAGTGCAACGATATAACATAAACTTACGTGGACAGCAGATGCTATGAGTCACTTTTAATTAACATATGCTATATACTACTATTGTTTATCGAAGGTGAACCACATGTATTTAGACAGAGATTACGTCAAAGTCAACAAAAACGACAACCACCATTACGTGTTTACCCGCATGAAAACACCATTATATTACGTACAAACAAAACACATGATCAGCATTTATTGGATATGGAAAGAAACAATCGTACACAATTAAATGAACATCGTGGTAAGACAGATTTTCTTTATTTGGATAATCATTATGACAAAATTTTGTATATGGATAGCCTTCTTTTGCCAGCAATACTAGAAGAGACTAACTGTCTGTTCTAGGTTATTGTGAATTTAGACGTTTGAAATATTTTAACGTCGGCCAGTCTTGGCTTGTCGACAATCTTCATTCATGCTATGAAGGTGTCACGAAAGTAATATACTTTTTGATTTTTAATGATAGTATATTTCTTGCTTGACACGCGTCTATGCTTTCCTACTTTCTCTAGAAATTATTGACACTGTGGTTGGACAAAAAATATCGGTTGTTTGCATGGTCTATTCGAAAGAAAATGGATGATCTTGATCGTGCACTTAGTCGTTTATATTTACCATCAACATCATCTCGTACACCACGTTCTATCTATAAATTTAAGTATTACAAAGCATCAGAATATAAAGTAATTGATCAATCAATCCTCATCCAAATCACTTGAAATTTTCAGAAAACATTCAAAATAGATCATAGATTGTGGATTAAGTAGAAAAAGCCTTATATTCCAATACTAAACATTCGAAGTTTTTAGCTAGGTTTCTAGAAAACCTTCAGTTGATCGGCCCATCAAACCGGTCTTTTTTGAGCTGACACAATCTATGGCCTATTTTGAGTATTTGCTGAAATTTCTTTGAGTTATGATGCGATTTGATTGAGTTCTAGCGTGTTTAATGGTAACTGGTAATAGCCAAAAAACAGTATTTGCAATAAAACTCCACATCCGAATCGATTTTACTTTTTGCAAGGAAATAAGCATTGCTACGATGATCAACGTAGTCGACTGTCTATGTTCCCTATCACATTTCTATCAAAAATTATTCAAAAAATAACCACCGGCCTTGTATTTTGGCGCCGATAGTGGCTCAGCGTCTGTTGTTTTTTTTCGCATACGAAGAAATAACGAATCAAACATGATATGTTCTAAATAGCATCGTTCGAATATGATGACGATTCGAGAAAAAGGAAAACAAAGTAGATGAATTTTTACAAAGATCAAGTAAACCATTAGCTTACCATTCAAAAAACTAAATTTTCGTTCGTTCAACGGCTTTTTCGATAAATGTGATCTTGCTGGCGGTAATACAGACGATTTCAACTCTTCTTTACCGAACATAATTCGCATTAAACGACGACCATAATCACCATAGCTTGTTGCGGAAATTTCCAATAAATTTTCTTCTTCATATATCTCAATATAAACGAAGAAAAAAGGATCGTTTTTAAAATCACAGAAGTAATAATAAAGCCGTAAATTACCATCTCTGCTGGCCAAGCAGCATTCGCATTTTTTTCTAAATACGGCTCTAATTCGCGATTCTTCTGGAAGTACAAAAACGAAAAGAAAAGTAAGACGGGTGATACAAGAAACTCATAAATTACTTACTATTGATGTTGATTTGCATAATTTATCAATCTTTTTATTAATTTCTTGAAATCTAACGGACACGGCATTTGCCAATGAATCTCGATGCAAATCTAATACGCCGTATAAACGCCCAAAAGCCGCAGCTAAAATAAAGAAGAAATTTGAACAGACTTGCCCAAATATGAGATTTAAAAAACAGCATACCTGTTACAGGACGATCATCATATTCATCACGTCTTCCTCCAGTACTAACTGTTGTTCGTTTAGTAGCAATTGGAGTAACATTTTCT